AAGTTCAATACCCAGACTTCCTTTTTAATGAAAATATGTTGTACTGTAATAAAATAGTATTTTCCTGGTTAAAAGTAATAAATGTAAGCTGTATCACTCACCATCCCTCTACCACAATAACCTTTGGATATTTCTTCCAAGAATATTCCCATGAGTTTTTCGTACACACAATAATTTGCAAAATTGTACAATTCTATATATTAATTTTTACTTAACATATATACATACCATAGTATTACATTTGTTATATAACACATGTATATTATATACATGTATAACTGTATCTAATGTAACCATTTTACTAAGACGCTCAATGATAATAACTGTGATTTAGCTAATTGTATGCTAAGTACTGACTAATTACATATTGTGTTTATGGATTGAACACAAATCATTTAACACTGCTTTTAGACATTTTTGAAGTCTTCCAATTTGGGAACAAGAGAACAACAAAGTTGACGTTGTTTCTTAAATGCTGGACACTTCGGACTCTGTGTGTGTGAATCAAAACTGGGTTCTCAAACATGGACTCTTTGTGAGGGCAGCATACAGGAAAATGTCACTGAACTTTTTATTTGTCAAAACCCTATCTACATTCCAAATATCTCAGATTCCAGGATATGGTATTACGAGTCCTCCAATACACCTCTCTAGTATTTATGGTAGCCTAATTCCAGTTTTATTAACATATTAGTAATTCTGTGATAACATTTCCAGATACTAATCTTAGAGTATTTATTTCCTTAAAACCAAGAGCTGTCTGGCCTTTTTCTGTTTTTTTGTTTTGTTTTGTTTTGTTTTTGTTTTTTTTTAAGATTTGATGTGAGCTATCATATAGCACTATCTGAACTAATTTCCATAAATTAAGTGGATTATCAATTAATCAAGAATAGCAAAAGCTATTAGAGGAAACAAACTAAAAGAATTGAAGTACATTTATCTTTTTTTAAAAAACTGCCTACAAAACTAGAAGATGATTGGGATTGGGGCAACAAAGCCACTCTCTATCCCAGATTCTCAAGCAGAAACATCGGGGTACAATGTCTGTATGTACTTCAACATTTCCCCCATGTGGACACTCATTCAGTGAGAAAAATGTTTCTCCACTGCTTTGTCTGAAAGCCTTTTACTGGGGCTGTTGGAATTCGTGAATATCTTGTGAGTCACAGAGCTCTTAGTCTTTTAGGGTCTTTACTCCTTGCTTGGCTGCATGGAGGACAAGAATTTACCTGTCTAAAGATAATGTTTCCAAGGGCTTGTCATGGCACTCCCCTCCCCTCTTCCCTGGCTCCAAACCAACTTTGCAGATTAAGCTGATGACTAAGAAAATCAACGAGTGAGCAACAGGAGCGCCCAGAGTAAGGTAAGTTGGCTCATAGAAGCAGGCTGGAGTGATCCCTGTACTGAAGAAGAACGTGAGCCTCACGGGGACAGCAGAGTCCCCAGAGAGAATGATGCAGGCTACCTACGGGGAAAGAACAAGAACCAAGGAGAGAAGGCTGGATACAGTGAGGCATCTGATTGTACATTCTGGGCAAGCTGCCTTGAACAGAAGGACAGACCATACAAGGAGGGGCCATCCTTAGTGGAGAACTAAACTCTTGTCAGAGGCTGTAATTCATTGTGATCATTTTTCAAAGCCATCTCAGGTCTTTGTCTTGGTTTTGCCCTTTTAAATAAGTAGAGTAGACTCATCACAATTCCATTCCTAGGAGTTTCTGACTTCTTTCCTCCCAAATAAAAGCACTTAACAGTATGCAAAAGGACATAATAACTAAAAAGAAAAATGTGTAGGAAACAAGCAGATCATGAGTGCTGAAGCCCACACAGGTTGCCTCATCGTCCGGTAGCCACTAATATTTTGAGCATAATTATCAGTCTGCCTCACCCTACCTTCATGGCTGCCAAGAAAAACAAATTACAGTGGAATCCCTCCCTTTAGTTGTAACAGATGTGAAAGTAAGATGAAAACATTATGACTCCTTTCAAAAGAAAAAGGAAGAATATGATGATTAGATAAGCAAATGCAATGTTTTGTGTCTGTCTGTCTGACTGTGTGTGTGCATGCATGACTGTGTGCTCGTTTATTGAAAGAGTCATTGGACCAAAACTCTTTCTGAAGCCAATGTCATCAATAACTGAGAGAATATTTATTTAAAATGAATATTAGCTAGCAAAGTCCAGGCTACCTTATGATGGACTGCTGTTGAAGTACAATGTCTTTGTATTCTCTGGTGGCCTTCAATAATTCATGCAAACAGCCAGACCTGAATGAATAATATTCAGGGAACCTCCTTCAGTGGCTCTAAGGGTAGTGTTTGGTGTCTTCAAATATATTTGCATATTTGTTTTCTATCTAAGTACATGAGTATAAATCAAACCAGTATAAGAGCAGCTAAGTAAATAGATATTCCCAAACCAGTAAAAATTATTTATTCTGTATTACTCTTGTTTACCATAACATTTTCTGCTTGTCAACTGGAGAAAGCTTTCTGAGCTCAACACAAGAAAAGCTAAATAAGTGCTGTTATGCACCAAAACCGGGAAGTAAGTTAAGTGAGATTTCCATTCCTATTGTGTTCTAAGACCCTATATAAATTCCTCCTTACACTTCAGCAAAACCATTATGAAACAGTCCATTCGAAGCACCATGTCTGTGAGTGAATTTAAAACATTATGTAAGTGGCACATAAAACCTTGTCTTTGTGCCTTTTGATTCATTCTACATCAAATACAGGGATAATTAAGGATTTTAAGTGATCTTATAGGAAGGCATTTCTTTCTTGTTTAGTTCTCATTTATGTATGTAAAAATACAGGTATTCCTTGTACAAAAGAAATTGTATATATTCTTGTCATTCAGAAGAAAATGAACTCAAAGTGGGTGACAGTCTTAAACGTATGAGCTAAAACTATAAATGTATGCAATAGAGAGAAAGTATATAAACTGAACTTTCTCAAATTCATAAACTCTTTTGCCATATCAGGTAGCTGAAAATGGAAACAACACACAGTATAGAAGATAGTATTTGTAAATTATGTATCTGTTAAAGGGTGCCTAGAACTCATTAACAGAAAGACAAACACCCTAATGAAAATTTACAAATAACATTAATAGACATTTCTCAAAATAATATATAAAGAAGTCTGAGGATATGAAAGGGTATCCAACATTACATACCACTAGTGACCTGAAAAAAATCAAAATTTCTATGGGATATCATGAGGATAGTTATAATAAAAGATGCCATGCATGGTGGTTCAACTCAGGAGGGTGGAGGCAGGAGCATGAAAAGTTAGCAGTTGTCATCACCCACATGGTGAGTTTGAAGCCAGTCAGAGATACATAAGGCCTGTCTCAAAGAAGAAGAAGAAGAAGAAGAAGAAGAAGAAGAAGAAGAAGAAGAAGGAGGAGGAGGAGGAGGAGGAGGAGGAGGAGGAGGAGGAGGAGGAGGAGGAGGAGGAGGAGGAGGAGGAGGAGGAGGAGGAGGAGGAGGAGGAGGAGGAGGAGGAGGAGGAGGAGGAGGAGGAGGAGGAGGAAGAGGAAGAGGAGAAGGAGGAGAAGAAGGAGGAGGAGGAGGAAGAAGAAGGAAGAAAGGAAAGGAAAAGAAAAGGAGAGAGAGAGGACAGAGGGGAAGAAGGAGGGGAAGAAGGAAAGGAGGAAGGGATAGAGGGAGGGAGGGAGGAATGGAGGGAGGGAGACTAATTTTCTTAAAGGATCTTTAAACATCTAAATACATATATTAATAAAAAAAGTCTACATAAAAGAAGATTTGGGGGAACCAAGCTAAAGAAATTTTTTAAGTAGTCTTTCCTCAGTCAACATGAAATGTAGATTTTTTCCCCATGGGAAGGTAAGAAAACCATTTTAGGAAATAGATAGCAAACAGTGGTTGAGGTCATCCTGTATAATGAGTGTTATGTCATCTAATAAAACAAACACTTTAGAGCTACTGTGTAAAAACTAGTCTTTTCTGTTTTACTTGCATTACTTGCAATCAGTAACACAGCTAATCCTCTCCTTCTGTGTTCCCATATGTGGTATAACTGCATCATTTGCCCTGCGGGGAAAAAGTGTAATGAGTCCATAGCACTGGACTTGCTAGGTTCCCAGTCAATGTGATGCCAACCAGAAGGCAAATGGTTAGTATTGCTAGTTCTCTGTGAAACATGTCCTGGCATAAGAATAGTGTGTGAGCAGGAAGGAAGAGTCCCAGAAAAAGAGAAATCCCATCCTAAAACAACTGTCAAACAAAAAAATATGAGGTAGAAGACATACTCAAAGTTCAAGTGTAAGTAAAATGCCCAAGCCTTGAGGAGACTATAAATTAATTTGTTCAATGTTGCTTTGCCATATTGATGGGTCTTTTGTTAAAAATAGGGACATATACTTCTCTTTACCCATTTATCTAAAACAATCCTTCCTGGATCTTGGGATTTTCAGATTCGCCTAATGAGAGCCTCATCTCCTGGTTATCATTAAAACTACTAAAACCACTATCATCCCAGACCCCTAGTATCATTTAATCTCTTCTGACTATTTGTTGATGTTTTGAATTTTTCCAGGCACAAGGGCTGAACTCACAGGATTAGCAAATGTTGTCTTACTGGTGTCTTTGAGTTTCAATAGTTCAAAGTGGCACTTTCCCAAAGCCTAGTACAAAAGACATGAGGGAGCTTTACACCCGAGGGGCAGCAGTCAGAGAGACTGAAGGTGACACTCATCCCAAGTAAGGATCACAATCACAAAGACAAATCCAAACTTACTTCCTCAAATATCCTTTTACTGCCTATGTGACAATGCAGCCCACACAGCTGTGTCCCCTCCTCTGACCATTCCTCACCCTTCTCTTTGGAATTTGGATATGTTTTCCAAGTAACACTGATTAAGCAATATTATAGAAGAGGTTTAAACAATAGCATTGTTATTCAGTAATACTTCAAGTCAAAACCTATCCCATAGAACACAATTGTGAGTGTTGGAAAGCCTGGTATACTAACCCTCTGAACTGGTATTCTCCAATTCCACTTTGTTGACATGGTGTATAAACCAGGATTCCTACTGGAAACAAATGACATGCTCAAATTAGGATGGTCTGAGGAGAGTTTATTTACAAAAGTCTATTTGTAAAGGTCCAGGTATAGAAGATCCTTAACACTGTCACATGAGGATGTCGAGCTAGTGACACATTTACACTCTAGATCCAAAAACACAAAGGGAAGAAGTAGTTATTGGAATTGAAAAGGAGTTACCCAGTGATGTTTGCCTTGATAAAGGACCATCCAAAAACAGCACAGGAAGCCCCATGGGATCCAGCAGAGAGGTCAACTCATTCCTTTCCTGGTTCTCCAACTCAGCAGGAAACTCAGGGGCGCAGCAGCCTTGGCTGTGTTTGTCAACACACCACCTTCAGCAATCTACCTTAAGATATCAAGAAAAAGAATTACATCAAGAGGGTGTGCTGCAGTTCCCCAGTGGTTAAATCTACCTGGAAGCCAGAGGGCAGTCAAAGTTTTTGAATGAGTCAGTTTCCTGGTCCAAAGGCAGCTTTGGACAAATGGAGGCTCAGCAATGCTAGACTGGTACTCATGCTCACACAAATGTGTCTACAACTGCTGCTTCATACACAGATGTGTTCACACACGGAACTTGGGGAGCTATCACCAAGGCATTTTTCCCAGGAAGTCTTCACTTCATGGGTGTCTTTCACACTCAGAATCCCCTCTGCCAAATTCTTGGGTATCCAGGACCTGCTAATCTGTGCGCGATCATGTGCAAATTGAAAGTGAACCTTCTTGAACACTGGTCCCTTTACATATATTTTCTCACTTTATCTTCAGCATGGTCCTGTGAGTCTTAAATCAATATCTACATTTTAAAGGGAATTTAAAGCTCAAGTAGTTCAAGAATGTTGTACAGAAACCGGAAGGTGACTCCTGAGCCCAGTATCACTTCATTCAAGGACCCCCTTCCTCCCCCATATGGATCATTGTTAATTGACAGACTTGAGTACGATAACCCAAAATAGTTGAGCAGTTTTCTAGCAGAGGGCAGGGTATGTAGAATAGTCGACTAAAAATAGCTGACTCAAAATTGCTCAGGACTAATGCCCATCCGGTAGATTATGAAAGAGGGAGAACCCGGGAGGAGGACAGGTGGGGGTGACTAGAAAGGGGTTGATGTCCAGAAGGAAAAGGCAGCAAAGAGTTTGAACATCACTGTGTTTGTCCCACTCCCCACTCCTGTAAGACAGGCCAAGCTCTGTTTATTGTCTGTGGACCTCACACCTGAAGTTTATGCCTCCGGGGATGTCTGCAGTGATGCAATGCCTCACCACTGGTCGCCTCACCTGCCTTCCATCTGACCTCTCTTACTGGTAAGCCCACTGTGAGGCAGCGTGTGCAATGAGCAACTTGATGTGTGACTGGGCAGGCTCACAAACTGACCCTGAGGGTCAGTGACTCTTCTGGACGCACCTGCTTTGTACACGCGTGCTGTCATCGTAAATTTAGTCACACCTACTCAGACAGAAGGATGCTGCTCGCGGGGTTTACATCTCCATGTCAAGAAATGAGTCAGTGGCTTGGGAAGGCATAACTCACAGGAAATAGGAGAGAGGATGTCCTGTCAGATTCTGGGGAATCTGTTTTCCTAGAAAACAAACGGGACCCAAAGCTAAGTGAACCTTTGTTTCGAAAGGCCTGCAAGCAAGCATCCACCCCACACGCAAAAACACCTTGTCTGTATAGTAAAAAGGTTGAACCAACACAAGGTTTTCATTTTCGCAGAGGCAGAAATGTCCACGTGGAGATGAGCGGCACAGTGAGTATAAAGCTATGCGCTTTATACTGTAGACATTCAACACTTTCTTTTTTAGGACAAGGCTAGAAAGCTCTAAAGACAGAAAGCAAAGACATAACTTCCAGGGTTGGGCAGGCACTCCCTAAGCCAACAGGGTATCACCAGCAGTGCTTTTATTTTCGACTCAGATTCCACAGCTGTCACAAGACCAAACATTCTCCTTCTTCCACACTGGGTTCTACAGAACTTTTCTGTGGTTACTCCCTTCACTCAGCCAGGCTTCCCTGCCCAAGCGGTAAAACCATTTCAGACAGCTAAGTGGATAAGGAGCTTAAAACAGTGTGGCTTTTGTTCTTTATCAACTAAACACTGCCAAGCAGTAGCTAACTTGAGCTTTGGATGTATGCAGGAACTGTTTTGAGCAATTTATATTATCCTTGCCATCTGTGAAATATTTTAATTGGGAATAACAAAAGATATTCTGATCATGGAATTTTGTTTTTAATAAACTAGAGTTGTTGGAGTTCTTTAAAATATTAAATGAGCTGAGTGTGATGGCACATGCCTGAAATCACAGCTTCCAGAACGTGAAGTTAGGAAAACCAGGTTTTCAAAGTCAGCAACGGAGCAAGTTCAAGACTAGCCTATGCCACATGGGACATTGTCTCAAAAAAATTAAATTAATTATTCTGAAGTTGAGAGTTTATAAACTGTCTGGAAATTCGGGACATATGAAAAATCTTTTAAAATTCATATATAATGATGCTATTGAGCAGTATTTACATTATGACCAGTAGGTAGACATATAGGAAAACATGTGTCTCAATGAAAGAAATTCTAGTGCAAGTGTGAGACACAGGATTTGAGCAACATCGCTACCAAACTTGCCTGGAAAGATTAAAAAATTATCTGTGAAGCTACCCTTCTCTGTAAAGGGAATGGTTGAGCTAGCACACGATTTTCAAATCACGATTTAAAGCTCGGGAAACAACTACAGGGGTGAGTCAATGACTATTACTGGCGATGGTAACTAGCCCTTCTTCTGCTTTACAATCACCCCCCCAAAGCAGTTCTATATTTTCAGATTTAACTTGTAAGGCTATGTGGAGATCTCTTCTAAATTCTTGAACACTAATGACTACAGTATGACTCTGAATAAATTCTGTGTAAAATCTATTTTCGTTGACATGAGAAACTGTCTCTTTATGTAGCAAAAATCATTCCTCCTGAATATGAAAATCAAATATATTTTTAAAGTAGTGTGTGAGACAATTACCTAGTTTTAGTCTACAAAAACGGGCAAACCCCATTGGACAGATTTCAACAATCCTCCTTGTTTTGATGTTCTACTCCTTAATAGAGCCTAAGTCCTTCAAAGTAAGCACCTGAGTACATGACTCCCCCATCCTTCCTATGTCTGGACCTCAGTCAATTAAAGCTGCCTTGGCTACCACATCCAGGCAAGTCCTCACAGGAATGCTGAATGTGGAGGGATATGGAAGAGAAGGTTACATCCCTGGGGAAGAGCCCCAAGGAAGTGCATTTATGACATCAGTCCAAGAAGAACTCCTGTAATTAGAAGAACTCAAAGCCAAAAGAACTCCGAGATCCAGTCCTCAAGCTGGAAGTAAAGAAATGAGTCAACTAAAGATAATAACAGAAGTGCCAGGTTAGAACAGAGAGTCAAAACACAAGAGAGTTGAGGCTTGCTGAAGAATGAATTTCTCACAACATCAAATAACTAATTAATCAATTTTTGAGAGAATGAATTTCCCAAGTGAAGTGTCTTCCATACTTTTGATTCACTGATGGTGTTGACATGGGTATATGTGTATGTATGATGTGTCTGTGGTGTCTGGGAGATGTGTGGTGTGTGTTTGTGTGTGTGTGTGTGTGTGTGTGTGTGTGTGTGTGTGTGTGTGTGTGTGTGTGAAGCCATGATGAAGCAAGGAAGAGAGCTTTTTGTCTATAACAGAAGACTCTGTTAAAACCCAAACGTCATTTTATTCCCTCAGAACACAATGTGTTGTCAGTGACTCTGACGTTTCAATGCTTTGGATGCAATAAGGACTATAATCACTTCACGACATTTGTTTGGGTAAAAGATGGCCTCATGCCACATAAAACACTGAAAATTAATTTTTAAGCTATGTTGTAGCATCTCTGTCCAATTATAATTCTATCATCATCGGTATATACTATTTTAGTAAGATAAATATATTTTGTTTTGTTTGAAATTTTTCTTCTCTTTGAACTTTTATAAAAAACGTTATGCTTGATAATTCTAGATTTTAATAAAACATGAACTAGAAATGTCTTCTACCACGTTCTTTAAATTCTACTTTCAAGATACGAAAAACCTTTATAATACTCAAAGTCTAACTGACCCTCACATTTATACAAAAAGATGAATTTCTACCATTTCTTGAAAAGTATTTTGAAAGAAATTTTGCCCTCATATTTGGGTCACAGAAACCTTGATCTGTGGACTCCAATCAGTCCCACAAGTGAAAATAGGGTCACATTGCCATAGTTCTCAACTGCAACATTAACAAAGCATTAGTCATGACCTATGCAAATTAGAATAAGCCACAGTGGGTTTTGGCAATTCATACAACTTGCCTAAAAGGAAATGCCATTATTTTCACTGTTATTAACAATAGAGTCTTTGGGGGAAAAGACAAAAATCACTTTAACATAAGAGAAGGAAAAAGAAAATTGGCCAGTGATCTGTACCATGATTTGTTGATTTATATTTCCTCAGCCAAAGAAGCTTGGGTTAAAAAAAATGGTAAAATCACAGAAATGCTGTTGGTCTCTGTGGTGGTTTGACGAAAAATGACTCCCAATATGGAGTGGCACTGTTAGGAAATGTGGCCTTGTTGGAGTGGTGAGACTTTGTCAGACAACGTGCATCACTATTGGATACTATTGGATGGGCTCTGAGGTCTCAGATGAGAGCTCAAGCCAGGTCTAGTGGTTCACTTCTTCTTTCTGCTGCCTGCCAATCCAGACGTAGAACTCTCAGCTACCTCTCCAGACCCATGTCTGCCTGCATGCACCGTGCTTCCTGCCATGACAATGGTCTGAGCCTCTGAACTGTAAGCCAGTCCCAATTAAATGTCTTCCTTTATAAGAGATGCCAGGGTCATGGTGCCTCTTCACAGCAATAGAAGCCCTAAGACAGTCTCTCCTTAATTCCTTCTGTAAATGTGGACATTAAAGGTGTTTGCTTGTTTATTGGCAACACTGGGGCACCAGGCTCCACTCGGATTAAACAGATTCTACAACACAAAGTCAAGGCTCAAGCCATAAACTTTTTCTCTTAATCGGGTAATGCCTCAAAAAGATAATGCATAAGATGAACCCCAAAAGTCAAATCCACTATGGACTATCCTCATGATTCTACATGTGGTGCACTTGTTTTGAATGGAAGGAAACACTAAATCCAACCTTCCTCCTTGAATTAAATACATCTCAATACTTAAATAAGGATGGTCTGAATGGACTGTGCAAGAAACTACTCAGAGCAGACCATAAGGAAATTTGGTAAGATGTCAATTTCAGCATTTCATAGTTATGGGTGATTCTGTTATACAAGTATACCTTTACTTATGTATCATATATATATATGACTGTATGACTAAATTATATACATATATATATATACATATGTACTATATAGACATATACATGTAGGACTGTATGACAAAGTTATAGTTAGTTGAAGCCCAGTCACACTGCAGTATGAGTCTGTCTCAAAGAAGAAAAGAAGGGCTGGAGAGATGGCTAGGCTCACAACCAAAAATATAAGAAGAAAAAAGTTCCAGCTATCTTTGGCATTGTGCCAATTTCCAGAAGGCTGTGTCTCTGGACCTCTGAACTTTGAGATCACTCTGAGGTACTTATCTCTGAGTCACTTAGCAAGAACACTAAAAAATAATCTGTGCTCTCTGAGGGCTATATAAACCTAGTGCCCCAGTTTCCATATTAGGGAGAGAGCGGAAGAGGTAGAGAAAGCTTGGTGTGGGGGGGGGGGTGAGTGTGTAGGTGCGTGGGGGTGTGTGGGGGTGTGGGGGGTGTGGGGTGTGGGGAGGTGTGAGGTGCGTGTGGGTGTGTGGGTGTGTGTGGGGTGTGTGGGGGTGTGTGTGGGGGTGGGGGGGTGGGGTGGGGGGGTGTAGGTGCGTGTGGGTGTGTGGGGGTGTGTGGGTGTGTGGGGGTGTGGGGGTGTGTGTGGGGGGTGTGATGATGATGATCAAAGAAGGACTCTGAAGAAACTGCACAGGGTTTGGTGGCTTTGGTCAACTGTAAAATGTAGAAATAATTGTTTTAATTAGGGTTCCTATTGTTCATTCTTTCTTAGTACTATGCACAGCTATACATAGGGCTATTCAGTGGGTGGCCTTTGACTTCTAGCCCCAGTAATAACAAATCCCAGTAACAGAACACCTAAGACTAAAACAAAAGCCAGGCTCAGTTCCATGTCTGTAACCTAGTGCTGGGGTAGACAGAGATGGGTGGATCCCCGGATCTCACTGGCTAGCCAACCTAGGCAAATTGGTGGGGTTAAACTCACTGAGAGGCCCTGTCTCAGAGACAGAGCAATTAAAGAAGACAGCACACACACACATACACACACACACACACACACACACACACACACACTAGTAGGTAAGACCAAATATTACTAGGAGTTAATGATTTGGTTTTTATTCCAAGATGATATAATTTCTTAACTCATTTCCTTAATCTCAAGGCAAAAATGCCTATAATTGAGGCACACATCATCCTTGTGCATCACATACACACACACACACGCACCTTTAGAGAATGCTAACACTCACAAGTTTGGGACTGTCATAACAGCAAAAATAGCAATTGATTTTCTTTTCAAAGTCACAAATCGAAGAGCTGGAAGGACACTTGGATGTCAGGGTGCATTCTTCGAATGGAAAAGATCCTGAGTTCAATACCAGTACTAAAACATGTCACAGTCATGAAGCAATTTTCTTGACAAATGGGATCTCTATTCCCACCAAGTACAAGGAGAGGAGTCTATTGAACAGAGAAAACTGAAATTGTGTCCGCTGTGTACTGGAGTGGGATCTCCATGCGTTCCACCAGGAGTCTACAAAAAGCTTCTCCTTTTCTTTACGGTTGTTTGAGCTCTGGAGCTTACACCATAGCCCCAAGCCTGCCTGTCAGTAGGTTTTCCAGGTCAAAAAATGGACTTGTGAGTGGCTTACTCTCCAGAACACAGATACACACACACATGCACACACACACACACCACAAAAGAAGACTAATAAGTCTCAGCAGTTAAAACACACACGCTGTGTTAACCAAAGAGACCAGGCACTCCACGGAACTGACCAGTCCTTTCTCTCTTCTCCTCAAAGCTACATGGAACCCAAATCATCAAGCTGTCACCAGGTGGCCATGGAACATCATTTGAACATTCACTGGACTCTGACTCACACTGACAGGCACAGGCTGCAGTCTACGCATTTGGATTCTGAGAAGTCAGCAGGAAACTTAACACAGCTGCCAGGTTTTATCTCCCCTGGATAAAGCGTTCTTTGATGGAATTTGGCAATAACAAAGCAATTATGCTTTTTCTACAATTCTGTGAACAAACCCAGGTAGAGTTAGGAGTTGAGTTTATATAAACTGAATCTCTCTGTGGAAAAAAAATACAAAATTAAGGATAAAAGTGATAATTTAGAATAGCAACATAAGTCACAAGCATTTATAATTTAGGAAACAAGAAAATATTAAAAGCTTCACAACATCTATGGATGCCACATATTTGTATGAATATTGGAATCAACTAACAGGCCAATTCACATTTTAACTTACCCTCCATGGATATAATTTCACATAATCATTTTCACCAGAGAATAACAAGTTCTCTTCTGTTTACCATAGCACATCAAAAAGTATTACTAGTGTTTAGACAAGTTTTCTATCAGATGAAGCAGCACGCATCTGAATCCCAGTAGTTGGGAGGTGGGGTATACAGGATCAGGAGTTCAAGGTCACCCTGAGGTAGATACTAAATTAGGTGAGTTTGAGACGATTTGTGATGTCCTCTCTCCTCCCTCCTTCATTACTCAAGTACAATAGGGGATTACTGAAGAGCAAATAGGGGGTCTTGTGGAGAGGCCTAGGCCTTCAGTGTCACTTTCAAAAGCCCAAATGTTCCAGCAACAGCAGCATTACCTGTCCTCTCTACCCACCCTGTCCCACAGTCCTGAAACCAGGGTGAGGGCAAGACTACCACACACCAGGTCATAGCCCCCTGTAAACCAGGGTGCACTCTCTGATCCAGATAGTTTCTTAGAGATCAGGTTTAGCCCCAGTAAGCTTCCAGGTCACAAGAGACAGTGCACTGCTTGTAGAATTACAGTTAGAGACGGGGTGAGGAGGCAGGGGCCACGCCCTTACTGTCCACACCCACTTTAACCTCACCCACTTTAGAAGGGAACCCAATCTAAGGCA